TAGACTCCGAAGAACTCCCAGACAGCAGAATCTGTGCTCAGGGTGTATGAGGGTGAGAACTGGCCACGTCTCTGGTCATTAGGGGCGCTTGGGGGAAAAGAGGAAATTGCATCTTTTTCTGCCAGGTCTCCTGTTACCAAAGCTGCTCACAAGATGGTCGTGCCATATCTGGCCAGCCATTCACCAGTCAGTCTCCCTTTCTCTTGTTATCCTGGCTCAGCTTATCCTCCCACCAAGCATTAAAGCCACTTCTCTAACCTTTCCTCTGAAGTTCAAGGTTTCAGAATTTTCATGTTTCATATGGTCTTGTATCTTTGTTGTAGAGGGCCTGTGTAGTTCAGCTGCCTTGTCTGCCATCTTGTTGGAAGTCTGCAAAATAACTCTTGAAATGTTGAAGAACAGAGATGTTACTTGAGTACTAAGGTACACCTGGCCCACCCAATCCATGATATTTTCAATCACCTCATCTATATATTCAGGAAAGTTGAACAGTAAATAAGGGAGATTGATGAAGAATTGATGCATTTGAATTACAGTGTTGCAAAGAAAATGGAAGTACCATGGATTGCCAGAAGAACAGACAAATCTGTCTTGGAAGACATACAGTCAGAATGTGAGAACAGCGAGACTTTTCTCTCGTTTTTTGGATGTGTTATCATGAGGGAACCAGTCCCTGGAGAAATGATATCATGCTTGGCAAAGCAGAGGGTCCATAAAAAAGAGGAAGACCCCCAGTGAGACACAGTGGCAGCAACAGTGAGCTCAAACACAGCAACAGTTGTGAGGATGGCCCAGGACCAGGCAGGTTTTGTTGCGTTGTGCCTAGGGTCGCTATGAGTCCATACTACCTTTTCACCCTCAATTTTGCCAGTTATTTCCCTAGAAATATTCCGTAACAGTTTATAGAGTGTGTCCATCCAGATATTTTCCTCTGAGAGATTAAAATGTTGCAAATATTTAAATTCTCTTTGGTGAACACTCCCAATCATAATCTCCCTATTTTCTCATTCTCATTTATTTGGTGTGACTTCTTCCAGATCGTATTTTCTTTTTTTCTTTCATTTACTTTTATAAATATGTGGATGTGTTTAACATGGCAATATTTCATCAGTGTTTATGGTGCTAATTTTTGTACCATAAAAACAGAAAAACCATAAAATTCCATAGATTATAAAACCTAAAATGATAATCTTGAAAACCATGCTAAGCCAAATCAGCTGCTATCAAGTTGATTCCATCTCATAACAACCATATAGGTCCCTACTCTACGGTTTCTGAGACAGTAAATCTTTATAGGAGCAGATGCCTCATTTTCTCCCTTGATGTGGCTAGTGGATTTGAGTCATCAAATTTATTAGTGAGCAGTCCAATGCTTAATCAGCAGCATCAGCAAGACTCCTTTAGCTGATATTGTTTTGTTGTTGTTAAGTGCCCTTGAGTCTTAGTACACCATAACGACCCTGTATAGTGTTTCTGTGGAGCAGCTGGTGGTTAGCACTGGCCTTGTGGTTAGCAGTTCAGTGCTTATCCTACAATCCTACCAGGATTCCTAAACTGATACTGTTGTTAAGTACCATCCAGTCTGCTCCAACTCATAGCAAACCTGTATAGGATTTCCGAAGAGTGGCTGGTGAGTTTGAACCACCCACCTTGTGATACAAACAACCTTACAGTTCGGCGCCACACCAGGACTCCTGATGTGATATTAGCAGTGTTAAACTGATAACAGTTGTTTGTTGTTAAGTGCCATTGAGTTCGTTCTGACTCACAGTGAGCTTGTATAGGGATTCCAAGGAGCAACTGTTGGGTTTGAATTGCTGACCTTGTGGTTTGCATTTCAGTGCTGATCCTAGTGCCACATCAGGACTCCAAGCTGATACTTTGTTGTTGTTAAGTGCCAACAAGTCAGTTCTGACCCATAGCGACCCTGTATAGGGTTTCCGAGGAGCAGCTGGTGAGCTTGAACTGCCTACCTTGCAGTTCAAATGGCTTTGCACTCTGGTGCATTAACCCACAGCGCCACGTTTAGTGCCATCAAATTTGTTCCAACTCATAGCGACCCTGTTAAAGGTTTTCAAGGCATGGCTGGTGAGTTTGAACCACCAACCTTGTGGTTCAAACCAACCTTGCAGTCCAATGCATTATCCTGCAACGCCACACCAGGACTCTAAAACTAGGTTCCACATGAGCTTATAAAAGAAATAGTAACACCCATGAGTAAGGTGCACCCTTCAGCAATGAACATTTGCCCAAAAGCAATGGTGAGAAGGCAAGGAGAGATAGGGAAGATAGATCATTGAAACGAGAATAAATAAAGTAGAAATGATGCAATGTAAAAATTGTAGTAAATGGCATAGAACAATCTGTATAAAAAAAAGTTAAAGGGGAGCCTAATTTGCTATGTAAACTTTCACCTGTTGTTGTTAAGTGCCTTTGAGTCGAACTCGACCCATAGCGACCCTGTATAGGATTTCCAAGGAGCAGCTGGCGAGCTTGAACTGCCGACTTTGCAGTTCAAATGACTCTCGTAGTCTGATGCATTAGCTCATAGCACCACACCAGGACTCCCAAACTTTCACCTAAACACAGTAAAATACTGTTTGAAAATTATTAAGGCTTTTGACGGTGATCATAACATTCTT